GTTATGCAGGGTGTTTGTAAAAAAGTAGGTACATTGTGGACTTGTGGTTTCCAAGGATATTATTGTAGTGATATCTTTGAAGTTAATTTGAAAAACACTCAGTTTGAAAATGGAAGTGTCATAGCTAGTAATTTATTTGCTACGTTGTGTTGATCGTTTGATTTCCTGAAGAGTCCTAAAGTTTATCAGTGTTTTTAATTGACTAAATACCAGTAATTATCAATAATTGAAGGATAATCGAGCAAATTGACTTTTTTGGAAGTGTGCATGGAAGTGGTAGCCCTCGGCTTAATTGGTACCCAGAAAGTACCCCTCGGCTTCAAAAAGATTGGTGACCCCTGATATTGAACGTAACAATTATGGTGGCCACGCAGGGGCGGATTAAGCACCCCCCCCCCCCCCCCCTTTGGTGCCCTAAGCACTGAAGACTTGTAGTGAATATAATGCATATTGCTAATTCGTGGACTGTCGCAGACCTGCACGCCCGTTCACCCTTCAGCTTCAACGCCCACGTTAATGATACGTTAGAAAACGCTGTTTAATTTTATTCTCAGATTTCCACAAAACACACAATACAAATCTTAAAACATTTATCCAGACTAGCTCAACATTGAAAACTATCGAGTCGTATTTATCAGTTGATCATAAATCTAATTAAATACTGTAAACGTGAGCTCGTGATTCAGTTATAAACAGAAACTCCTATTATCTAAATATGTTTAATTATAAACATCGTACGGATGGGAACTTACATATAATTATTTAAATTAGTGTTTAAATATCGTGATAAAATAAGTTTCAATTTGATAATGGCCGGACGAAACTTGTTATGTTCCTAAAACTGGTGTAATTTGATTCTTACGAAAGTCTTTGTTTGAATTTTGGGAAAAATTAAATTTGTTTTGATAATTTCAACATGAAATGGGGTACATTTGGTTTGTTTATGCTATAGACTTTGGTTCCCCCTCATGTGTAATTTAATTATAAAAACAATAAACCACATAAGTGTATTATCCATTAGAAATAATCACAACCAACAGTAAATAAAACAACTTTCACGAACATTTTTAGCTTTTTTAACTGTTATATATAGCTAATATAAATATCGGCCGTTTACTGCCGATATTATATATATGCAAACAAGCAATATCGGACCGATATATCGGTTGAGCTCTAATCCTGATGGAGTGTGACAATAAAGATTCATGCCTCCAGTCTCAATGTGAATCAAAATACCAAAGGATACAAGTCACAACTGTAGTTTGAAAATACGTTTCCGCTGTGTTTTCTTTATGACACCTTTCTTGCGACACTCATTTTATTACGAATTGTTATATTGAGTAATTTAAAAACTTGCAGCGTGAGCAAGCTTAGTGACATCGTCAAATACCAACCGAGTTCGTCTAAGTGGGTATTTCGGGACCTAGCTAAAAAAAATGGATTGCGCTGCGTTAAGTCGGCTCTGCGTTTCGTCACTACTGTCACATGGCCGACGCTTGTGTTTTTACTAAAATATACCAAACAAAGCGTTAGAAAAGGGGTTTGAATCTCAGGATCCCAACCCCAGTTGGAATATCTAAAAAAAAAAAACTCAAAAACGTTCTTCCATTAGATACAAATATACGCTAAAATTGTTCTGTGAGCCGCACGGAATGTATAAGCATGACAGAGTTTGGACCACCCTGTTCCACCTTTATCAACAAACTCCCGACTCCGCTGACCACTAGATCGTTAAAATGCGAACGTGGAACCACCACATAGTGTAAATAGTTCAATGGTCCAATTGTTGAAGAAAAAAGAAATTCTTTAAAAACAAAAATGCAGCAACAAGGTGAATACTAGAAAGAAAAACCAACAATATAAGAAAACGACTCATAGGCCCATTTCGTGTCCAATAAATAAGTTTCAGTGTTTATTTTTAATAAAGAAGGTCAATATGATACTTGAAGACGAAAAATAAGCGAACATTTTGAATTTTGAGTCGTCTGGTGAACCCGTAATATTTTAATAAACACCGATAAACTATATAAAATTCTGCTCCAAAATTACTGTGGTGCTCCTCTTTGCTTGATGCCCTAAGCACGTACTTATATTGTTTAATCGTTAATCCGGCGCTGTGGCCACGACCCCATATATATTGGATAACTTCGACAGCAAAGTAGGCATGAATCCGTTGAGAGATTCGTTATTGAAGCGCCTGAAGGAAAAGTAATTACTGGTATTTAGCCTTGGAGCAAAATGTTACCCAGAAAACAGATGAATAATTATGGTTGAGTGTAGGAAGCAGGCTTATGCCCTATACATCGGTTCAAAATGTTCTGGCCCACATTCGTTGTTACACTGTTTCAAAAAACCATGGTTTTTATTTACCGGTGTAACAATGAATAGATTTTGTAAAATGAACACTAGAGACAGCCCCACTAACAACGTTTAGAATAAACGGACTTATCTGGGCGTATATTTTCTTCTGTTTTTGCAAAAAACTTTGCCAAGACGAATTCAATTCAATTATTCCACCAAACCAAACCGGGGAAATAACTCTGTCATGGAAAAAAAGTTGTCAAGAAAAAATAAGCTAAATTTGGGATTAAATGTCGGTTTTGTAAGGCTCGGAAAAATATACTGGCTATCTCTTTCATATCACGTGAAGATATCTCAATTTTAAAAGCTATGTTAACTTTACGAAATATGGCAACTTAGCGTTTGCATGAAAGTGTTTAAAATAAAATGACATTACGAAATGAAGAAATGATAAACTTCATTAATATGTCATAGTTCAATATAACATTTGAGAATGCTTCGTGTCGGTCACAAATCTGTGCCATTATTGAAACCTCCAATAAAATCATTATTCCTTGTTGTTCAAACGCACGAGAAGCACCACCCAGCTATCGGATTCATTTTTAAGCTTCCTTGCGGGTGTTATTGCTGTAGAGAGGTATTTGAATTTATTTTTATCGTCTGCTATGCTTTTCAATCTGTTTTCCTGTCTTTTTTTTTCGTGAAGATAAAAGAGGCAGTTTTCATGACCTCAATACTTGGCGGCGCTTACATGTGTGAGCAAGTTTTTTCACGGATGAACCATGTCAAATCCCCCGTGAGATAACTAATTTCTGACAGTCATATAAAAAGTTCGCATTGCTAAATCGCCCATCGCACCGAATATTGACAAACTTGTTGGATAAATGCAGGGTTATACTTCACATTGAAATATTTATCTGTGATAAAAACTCTTGACTTTACTGTATCTTCGTATTTTCATGATTCTTATAATTTTGGTGTGAGGGTTTTGTTTGTTTTTTCATTAATTAACCTGTCGGTGTAGTGAAAACTAGAAAATGACTATCAATTGACCCGCGCAATCATTTGTAAACTACATGTGGCCCTTCGGCCATAAAGTTGGACAACCCTGGTTTAAAGGCAAGTATGCCAGAAAATGACAGTGAAGTACCCTGATGATGTGAACGTTACAGACAATGTAAGAGGTTATCTTTGCATCCAAGCACCTGAAACACTTACAATCATAAAATATATATGAATATCGATTCTGTCTAAAGGCGTTATCACAAATAATCATATAATCATGCTAAAAAATTTATTGGAAGTAAGATCTATGAACAAATTGATATATATTGGATTTGCAAAACGACGCCCAATTGTGGATTGTTGGATGAATAAGAGTACCCATAGATAAAAATAAACAGCAAAATTTTGAGAGATTTCATCTATCTTTAGGTACTGAAAATTAAAAATTGAACGCGAAATGAGAATTAAGATGATGAAAAAAGAGATTTTTGATGCGAGGAAAGTCGTTTCAAGAGCAATAATTTTTGCTGTTGATAACAAAAGCAAGAACAACGACAACAACAAAAAACAATTTACCGAAACGAATCATATGGGCATACATATAGACAAGTTGTTTCAAATTTCATATGGCAATTGTATAACAAACGGCTACTTTCTTTTTTTATATCTGAAGAACTTAATCTTTGCCATTTTGACTCGCAGGATCACCGTGTTTTTCGGTATTTTTCACGGTTTGTTGAAGTCAGTTCTATCGTATTCAATTACATTTCACTATTCGTCAACCAGAAGATTTAAAAAAAGCAATAGAGCAAAGTCAATAGACAGGAGATATCTTAATCTAAAAACTTAAGAAATTTGGGACGAAATATCAAATTTATCATACAATATTTAGAAATAAATAAAACTAATAGCCTTCTAGAACAAAATTCCATCTTCAACTACTGAAAATCTCAAAGCAATTGGTCCAGTAATCAAAGAGAAAAGCGACTTTTTGAAAACGTGTCAAAGAACAAGAACAACAACATAATATTGAAACGATCGCTATGTCCACTACGTGTCCAAAGATGAGCAGTTGGATGTAAAACAGGGTCGCCATCTTCATCAGTAGACTGCCATTTATAGGGAGTTTACCAAATTACTATATAGAATAGTCTTTTCAAGGCTAAAATTATTATCTCTATTATCTGTTTGTAACTATACTTTTGTCATAGAAAACTTGCCCAAAGCAACGTCACTCGATCTCAATCAAAAACATAACATATTAATATCTAAGCAAAATTACAGTCCATCTCCAGAATTGTGTATACCAGTATGGAGGTATTATTAAAAAATTTTTGCCTAATTTATATCAAGTTGTGTGAAGGGTCGGAAGCCTATGGGCAGGGACTATATTCACTTGGCTAACACAGACATTCCTGAAGTCGTAATAGAACTGAAATAGGAAAAATCAAAACAAAATCATGGCCTAACCCTAACCTGCTACACATACTATGGGAGTGCCAATTTTTCTTTGGAACAAGAGTGTTTGGCAGGACAGCAATGAAAACAGAGTAAATTTAATCTAAGACTAGACTTTTGAAACAATTATTAGACACTCGCGTGTTGCAGGTTATCCGCTATAACATTCTGTCTTCCAATTTCCTCAAATATCTGCTCTTATAATCTAAATGTTATTTCATAAAAAATAAACAAGATATTTGGCGCCTTTTTTATTTTATGCATTTCCGTTTAAAATGAGAAAGAAAAATGTTCTTCAATCGATGTCGTTTCATGTCCATTCCATTTGATCGTTGTTTGATTTAACTTCGAAAATGTTTACTGTCTGCTGAGAAGCTGCAATATTGTCAAATAAAATTTGAATAGTTCATTATAATAAAAAACTCTACACCAGAATTGGTAGCATGAAAATAAAATAAGAAGCTAAAAATACGTATATGCCATAGGACTCCGTTATGGGCTATTCGTTCACTTATTAAAATCTTGTACTGACTTGACTAGTTTTGTAACTGTTCAAAAAACCAATAACAGCAATAACACAATATAAACATCTCTATTGTCGAAGTATGGAAGCGGTAATTCAAATATGACAATAGATAATAAAATATTTTCAATTACCGCACTGTTACCACATTTCGACACTGCTGTATTAATATATATGCTTGTCAAGTGTCAAATTTACAGCGTTAATAGAATTTATGTGTGGAATTTAGATTTATTTCTATCTTGTATTGAATACAAAGCAGCAAATACATCGGAGTCATCAAATAAGGTAAATTTAATTTACCCAGGAACATTAATCGGTGAATAACAATGCGTTTTTATTTTTAGAAATTTCTTGTGGAACTCCGTGAATAATATTCAACCTCCTGTTCTACATAATAACACACAAACCTCTTCCTCTCTGGCTTGTTCGATGTCCTGCATAAATTCTTGAAATTCCTCATCAGTCTGTTAATATTTCAATATACAAATGTTAGGTTAACTATATATAATATATGAATTAGCAATATATTGAACGTATATTTTGCAAAATGCCGCAAAATGTTGCAAAATTGTGAACTATTGACATATAAGATATACAGCCAAGATATCTGAGAAAGTGTACGGAAATACTATTAACGGAATAAACGCAGAGACTAATAGCAAACTTAACTTGTAAAAGATACATAGATTGGATTGAAACATGTGAACGACATCATCGGATCATCATATTTAAAACCACAAATAAGTTCACTTTTACGGTTGACACACTTGATGCATTTCAAACCGATATGATTTCCGAGGCTATATAACTTACCATGTCACCAAGCAGCATCGTTCCAGCTCTAACTCCTGCATGGATGTATGTTTTATGTCTGGAAATAAAACAAAGTTTTAATTCGCAATAATATTTTTCGCTCCAGTAAAACAAAAAAACATAGTTTTTTTGAGAAATTCATTAAACTCACTAGGTAATTATTGATAACATTTTTGTCTTTTGCGTACTTGAAAATAATTTAAAATATTCTTCACCCACTTTTTGTAAAATCTTCCTACAGAACTGGCAGCTTTACTGAACCAACCAGCTTCACTTTGCTGAATCATGAAGAGTGCGACAAGCACAATCAAAATGGTTGCCTTCATCTGCATGGTGATTCTAGGTAAAAATAAATCAAAATCAATATCGATAATAATTTAAAACAATGATAAGATAAATGAGTACAATTATTCTTGATACTCGGACTGGTTTACGGAACGGTTAGGTATACAGTACATAGTTCACAATCTGATAGAATTTTTGGCTTGCGAAGAACCGATTCGACGGGTAGTTCGAAATGAGACTTGAAATAGTATTCACACCGTCAGATCTTGTTTCAAGTTTCTTACCTTTGTTATGTAGGAGGATCTGTCGGATTCTACAAGGAGTTGAAACTGAAAATACAGCTCGATGCCTCCGTCTTTTATGCTTGACAGCACGGAAACTAGTGGTCAGTATGTTAAACTCAAAACAGATGGGATCGTTTGATATAATAAACTTTGCAATTTTAATACCACATGGCAGAAGAAGACGATTGGCCGGAAATTAATCAGAGCATGATTAGTTTCTGAAAACATTCCTGCTGTCCATTTCTGAATAACGAACGCGGTTTTGTTAGATTAGTTACAAAAGAAAAATTATTTTTGCTCTATAAAGTTTATAAACCATAAAATGCAGTTGTGTAATCATATACCAAAGTATTAGAAACATTGATTTTATCTTCATACTTACAAGAAGTAAGCTCGCGTGTTTATGCTTTATTTCAACAACAAAAACTTAAGCCAATATGATCACGTATTGAGTCAATATGTTTATTGTTGAAAATTACATTCTAATTTTGATTTTAATAGCTGCATATGCTAAAAACAATTCGAAATGATTAAGCAGATAACACAGTGAAATAGATAAGTGTGTAGATTTCGCGGAAGACGGAAAATCTGAGATATTTGGTTGATTAGCTGCTGTAAAATTTGAAGTTTCTCATGAATAAGGTTTATGATAAGAAGAATGGAAAACAAAAACTCGTGAATCCATGTTTCAATGTGATCTGAATTAAGATGTTTTGTGAAAATTATCTTCAGTATTACAGATAGCACGGTTCAGACATAACATATATATAGTCCAGTTAGAAAGAATTTATTATTTTGTAAAATCCGAATTCAATATTCTTACAACTACCTTCAATATTCTTGCAACTACGGACATTCGAAACCATGGTGACCGCATTCATACATTTGCACCTACTAACATTTACAACCATGGTGGTTGTCTTGTACCCATACATTTGCAGAGGCCGTCATTTCAACCTATAGATGTTTCATGGAGGTATACGTTTATGAAAATATTTGCATGCGTTTTATTTGTATGCTAAAATTTGTGGAAAATGAATGGGTTTAACTGTTCTGTATAGGTACAAATGTGCTGTCACGACAGCAATTATGGAATATATTTTTCGTAAATAAATCTTAGTAAAAATCGTTTTTTTAAACCATACTTGCATTAGTGTCTTCTTTGACTCGATACCGGCAAAACCAAATTATTCATTAAAAATGACAGTAACGTCTTGATTTTGTCGTGTGGTTATTCAGATGCAAACTTTCAACATTCAATGTTTTATAGAATTTTATAGCATGGTACCAATGTATAGAAAAATGGAGAAAGTAGCTTTGATAGACCTTTATAAAAAGGTAGAAATCGTGCTATGATCTTTGCTGATATATTTTTGACGATTTCTTTTAAAGATGTGATGTTGAAGTGTTTAGTAAATATTACCGACAGCAGTTCCTTATTATAGATCTAATTGATTGCTCTCAGGTATACATTTTCGAAATTTATCAGAATTGATGTTCAAAGTATTTTTTTGTCCCAGTCTGAAAAGAAGGTTGTTTTGAATCTACCCTTGTGTAAGCTTGGTAAATTAATCAGATTTTTCATTACAAAAATATGTCAAAGTATATTTTCATATTATCGATAATGTATCTGGAAATATTTTCACTCAAAACTACGAAAACATTTCAATGTAAGCCCACCATCGCAATTAATTACTATCGTTTCGTTGGTAGGCTATACTTCTCGTTACAATGAATGTTAACAAATAAACAAAAAATGTTGAGTGACGCATTTGAGAGCACTAATAAATACTTATAAATTGTTTACATTCACCAATTAAAACAAAATGGCAATTCTCACAATATCTACCCACCAATGCCATATTGCTAATATCGTCATCGCACGAGGAAATAAATTCCTGCTAAATGTTAAAACATTTATACCGATATCAGAAGTACTGTGTGATGTAAATGTGATATAAAGATGTGTGTGTGTGTGTGTGTGATCTAGGAAAACAAAGCTCGATTTTTTAAATTAAAAATACTGCTTACAAATTTTAAGCAAACCGGATGTTATGATTCGGTGCATCCTGAAATGTTACTGCATTGATATAAATCCTCCAAATTAGAGCTGGTTAAATTAGAACTGCGCGATAATTTCAACTGAACATTGTAAATGAGAATCACGTCGTCTATTTATTTTAAAGAAGTTACCAAAACACAGGACAATAAAGATCATTGCACGACTTGTCGCTCCATATGGAAGTTCTTCCCTTCAGTGTCAATCAAGAGTCGATATACTCGTTTTTTTTTTGTTTATTCATACAATGTAGGCTATACCTTACTTCAAAACAGAAAATGTTTCATAGGTTCGAAACAACGCAACTTAACATCCTAAATTAAAATCACGTAGCCTGATGTTTTAAAAAACAACAAAGATCATTGCACGACTTTTTGCTTTGTTTCTTCTTTCTATTATCATTTAAAAATCTCTTTACTTATTATTTTTTCTATTCATACAATGTAAACCTTACTTCAAAAACAGGAAACGATTCATATGCTTCAAGTCACCGCAATAATATTAACTTAACACCGTAAATGAGAATCACGTCGCCTGGTATTTTTGAAGTAAATGCCAAACATACGATCACAAAGATGAGTGCACGACTTCTCACTTCCCATAGAGGTTTCTTCCGCCCATCGTCAATCTAGAAAAGCTTCACTCTTTTTTTTTTTATATCTGCAATGTTCAGCTTACATCGAAAAAGGGGAATCATTCATCTGCTTCACTCATTAGCCTCCTTATAGGCTTAAACTCTGAACTTATGGACAAACCTGTTCGTTACAAAGGCTGTAGGGCGTTCACGCAGCATCATCTCCAATATAGATCATACGTCAATCCACGTGAAAAGATATAAAACTAGCATCTGGACTATTCATAACTATTGAATCGGCTGGTTTTCGTGATAATACCGAAAGCAGAGAAATAGGAATTGCGAATAGGAAAACGTCAGTTGCGCCATTAGCTGACCGGGAAATTCTGACGCTACAATTATTATTGCTTCTTTTTCATCCACACAAAAATGTAGGTTGACCTATATGACAAAATGCACATTGAACGTTATCGGGGAAAGTTTGAGATGTCAAATGCAATGCAGACTGAAAATCTGTGAAAGATAATCGAATGAAAATAGATTTAATTGGACTGGTCATCAGTAATTTGTAAATTTTGCAAACGAAAAAGAATGATAAAATGTCGGATAGTAAATACCATAATATTAATTTTTTTGAGAAATATCGACATGCCATCCTATAACAATAGGCCCGCTTTACTTTCTCATTTTTCTTCTTCAAATTAATTGGAAGATATTTACAAAAATCATACATATATTGGTTGTTTGGGTTGTAAATGAATTCTCACTTTTTATTCAAACGCACAATATCTACGAATGTGTAAAATTTTCGTTTAACGTACACACTTTGAAATAATCATATATATTATATATCGAATATAATTAAAATATCGGAAATGGAATTAATCCAAATCGCGGAGCAAAACGACGCCCAATTGTGGATTGTGGGATAAATAAGAGTACCCATAGATAAAAATAAACAGCATAATTTTAAGAGAATTCATCTTTCTTTAGATACTGAAAATTCGAAATTGAACGCGCAATTAGAAGTTAGATGATGAAAAAAACAATTTTTGATGCTAGGAAAGGTCGCTTCAAAAGCAATAATTCTTGCTGTTGATAACAACAGCAATAACAACGACAACAACAAAAACCAATTTACCGAAACGAACCATATGGGCAAACATATAGACAAGTTGTTAAAACATATAGACAATTGTATAACAAACGGCAAACTTTTTTTTATATCTGAAGTACTTGATCTTTGTCATTTTGAATCGCAAGATCACCGTGTTTTTCGGTATTTTTCGCGGTTTGTCGAAGTCAGAGACATCGTATCCAATTACATTTTACTATTCGTCAACCAAAAGAATTTATACAACTATAGAGCAAAGTCAATAGACAAGAGAAATCTTAATTTTGAAATCATTGTCGAAGTCTGTGCCGATTTATCATTAGGCAAGCTAGGCTGAAGTCTAGGTCCTTCAGGCCTTAGGCTTAGGGTTAAAACTTGTTCCAGAATAAAACCGGTTAAAAATTTCATGACCGATATATGTTTGTTGATATTTATTGTCCCAAATATTTACCTATTTGACGATTGAAAAATTTAATACAGTGAAATAAATAAAATTGTCTGAATTAAAAAAAACTGTGGTGGTATCACGGTGCATTAAATATACTGGTGCCATAATACATTTTAAAAGACTTCGAAGGGCACAATATGTCCTAATATATATATTGATATATATACGAGAATATCGGTTGGAAACCGAAGACTTATCGATCGATAGTTAGGGGATCCCCCAAAACAGAAACTGCAGTTTCGATTCATCCGCTCTTGTAACTTGCGCACTGCGCATCGCACACACACACTCGGCGGGTTTCAAAATTCTCTCGCTTTACAAAAATCTAGATCACTATATCAATAATTGATTGATAACTCGCTAATTATACGACATAATTCTCCCAAAATCAATAGGCTTCTGGTCCGAGATAAGATGAATGCACATGCAAAATCTGGAGCAGATTCAATCTCGCTTTCGTGAGATATCGCGTGCATCTAACAGACACACAGACAGACATACAGACAAATACATATCAATATACTTACCGATCTTAAGATCGATAAGTAATAAGAGGCCGTATGGATGTCGCAACCTAGGGTCGTCTCAACGTTTCAAGCCTTAATTGAATAAAAAAAATGAGCAGTTGGATGTAAAACAGGGTCGCCATCTTCATCAGTAGACAGCCAATTATAGGGAATTTAACACATGACTATGGAATAGTCTTTTCGAAGCTAAAAATATTATCATTACCAATCTGTTTGTAAATATATTTTTTTCATAGAAAATTTTCCCAAAGCAACATCACTCGATCTCAATCAGAAATATAAGATATCAATTCCTAAGCGAAATTACAGTCTAAAACTAAAGTGCCAGAAGCTACTCAGAATATGAATCAGTATAGTGTAGAATTGCGTTTTAGTAAATACTCATGAACGCGAGACTTGGCAGTTCTTATCAATACGATCAAGAAAACACGAGTGAAGTGGTGGCGGATATTTTTTTTAGACACGTATATTGAGAGTGGATTGGCCAAACCCAGTTTCACGGCTCAAGTTTTTCTAGAAGAACTATCTCCGAACGTTTGGAAGAACATTATAGTACAGGATGAGGCAAAAAATAACTCCAACATTTCATTTACGAAAAAATAGCATTTGTTAAACTTTTATTACATACGACTTTTTTCGAAGTCAAACCTTAAGCATGTCAAGTCAAAAATTCCAAAAGGGCCTTGAATCATTCAATTTCGATAGCCATCTCAAAAATATTTAGTAACTAATTATTGTTTCAATGAATAAATTAGACGCATGTACCAGATAAGTGTCTCACATATAATATTGAACATTTTTGGCGATCCAGAATTGTGTATACCAATATGGAGGTATAACTATTTTTTTTCGCTTAATTTATATCAAGTTGTGTAAAGGGTCGGAAGCCTATGGGCAGGGACTATATTCACTTGGCTAACACAGACATTCCTGAAGTCGTAATAGAACTAAAATAGGAAAAATCGAAACAAAATTATGGCCTGACCCTAACCTGCTATACATACTATGGGAGTGCCAATTTTTCTTTGGAACAAGAGTGTTTGGCAGGACAGCGGTGAAAACAGAGTAAATTTAATGTTAGACTAGACTTTTGAAACAATTATTAGACACTCGCGTGTTGCAGGTTATCCGCTATAACATTCTGTCTTCCAATTTCCTCAAATATCTGCTATTATAATCTAAATGTTATTTCATAAAAAATAAACAAGATATTTGGCGCCTTTTTTATTTTATGCATTTCCGTTTAAAATGAAAAAGAAAATGTTCTTTAATCGATGTCGTTTCATATCCATTCCATTTGATCGTTCTTTGATTTAACTTCGAAAATGTTTACTGTCTGCTGAGAAGCTGCAATAATATCAAATAAAAATTGAATAGTTCATTATAATGAAAAACTCTACACCAGAGTTGGTAGTATGAAAATAAATTAAGATTATAAACAGCGAAGCTAAAAATACGTAAATGCCATAGGACTCCGTTATGGGCTATTCGTTCACTTATTAAAATCTTGTACTGACTTGACTAATTTTGTAACTGTTTAAAAAAGCAATAACACAATATAAACATCTCTATTGTCGAAGTATGGAAGCGGTAATTCAAATATGACAATAGATAATAAAATATTTTAATTACCGCACTGTTACCACATTTCGACACTGCTGTATTAATATATATGCTTGTCAAGTGTCAAATTTACAGCGTTAATACAATTTATGTGAGGAATTTAGATTTATTTCTATCTTGTATTAAATACAAAGCAGCAAATACATCGGAGTCATCAAATAAGGTAAATTTAATTTACCCAGTAACATTAATCGGTAAATAACAATGCGTCTTTATTTTTAGAAATTTCTTGTGGAACTCCGTGAATAATATTCAACCTCTTGTTCTACATAATAACACACAAACCTCTTCCTCTCTGGCTTGTTCGATGTCCTGCATGAATTCTTGAAATTCCTCATCAGTCTGTTAATATTTCAATATAAAAATGATAGTTAATTATATATAATATATGAATTAGCAATATATTCAACGCATATTTCGCAAGTAGACACGTGACAGTGGTTAGAAATGTATATATATACCCATATTGAAGGATTGAAAAGTTTTGAACATCGATTGTCATACTGGGTTATACTAAAGTAGGCAATTTTTTAAAATCACCATTGTCTTATCTCTTGACTGTGTTTGGGGGTATAATAATAAAAAATGTCGCACATGATCTGCGTTAATCTTTCTTCTATTGCATTGTAAACTATTGAAATATAAGATACATAGGCAAGATATCTGAGAAAGTGTCATGGAATACTATTAACGGAATAAATACAGAGACTAATACCAAACTCAACTTGTGAAAAGATACATAGATTGGTTTGAAACATGTAAACGACATCATCGGATCATCATATTATTTTGCCCGCAAAATAAGTTCACTTTTATGGTTGAATGAATGACACTTGGTGGTTTTCAAACTTTTCCCGGCCTATATAACTTACCATGTCACCAAGCATTGTAGCAGCTGAAAGTCCTGCATGGATGTATGTTTTATGTCTGAAAATGAAGAAAATTTGACAAAATTTTAAACCGCAATAATATTTTTCGCTTCAGTTAAGACATAGTTTTTTTGAGAAATTCCTTGAGAGACTTCACTTCACCTATTGATATAACCCCTATCAAGGAGCTAAAAAGTTGTTAAAAAAAAGAAAGTTCCGGTTTGAATATTTTGATATCGAAGCAGTTCATTTAGAAAATTATCTAGAATATCACACACGCACTGAATAAAACATAACGATAATGTTGTTGATTGTTGAACTTTCTCGTTAATTCAATGATCAAAAGAATTAAATTCACTAAGTAATTATTGATAACATTTTTGTTCTCGCGTACTTAAAAAGAATTTGAAATATTCTTCACTCACTTTTTGTAAAAGTTGCTTACTGATCTGAAAGCTTTTCCAAACCAGCCAGCTTCACTTTGCTGAATCATGAAGAGTGCGACAAGCACAATCAAAATGGTTGCCTTCATCTGCATGGTGATTCTGGGTAAAAATAAATCGCAATCGTTATCTATAATAATTTGAAACAATGATATAAGATAAATGAGTACAATTGTTCATGATACACGGACTGGTTTACGGAACGGTTCTGTATACATCAGTTCACAATCTGATAAAATTTTCAAGGGCAAATTGGCTTGCGAAGAACTGATCCGACGGGTAGTTTGAAATGAGACTCGAAATATTATTCACACCGTCAGATATTGTTTCAAATTTCTTACCTTTGTTGTGAAGGAGGATCTGTCAAGATTCACAAGAACAAGAAAGTTGAAAGTAAAAATACAGCTCGATGCCTCCGGCTTATATGGTTGACAGCACGGAAACTATTGATCACAATGTGCAAGACAAACGTGGAATAAATAGGCTCGTTTGATCTGTGCAGTATATGAAGCACTTCCTGTATTCAAAGTATGGTAAACAATGTATAGCAAAAAAAATGAAAAAAGTAGCTCTGATAGACAAGTTTCACAGCGGTGTGCAACTCAAATAGGTACGGTATGCGTGCTACAATTTTGCTCTAAATCTACCATTATGTAATCTCGGTTAAATGTATCATTGTCTGAAAATCAGTTATTTGTTATGAAAATATTTTATATTATCGGTGGTGTATCTGAATATTTTTACTCATACTTAATTCTAGACAGGAATTATAGGGTAACGCATTTAAAAGCACTAATCGAACCCTTAAAGACTTATCATGATTTTGAGTTTACAAACTGAAATAATATTCAAAATGAAAGCGCGAAGAAATCAAAAAGTGTAAATTCACAAACTGTGGGTCATAAGTCAGGATAAGGAGAACAATTGAGATTGCAAAAAAACTCATTTGCGGCCCCGTGATCTTAATCACTATTATACACTTGTAACTCTTTTGCTTGTGATCAACCTACTATAGAATGCATAATATGATATTCTGATATAATTTTTATTTGATAATGCATGGTATAATACAATACTTATAAATCGTTTACGTTCACCAACAAAAACAAGATAGCAAATCTCACAATATCTACCACCAATCCCAAATTGCTAATATCGTCATGACGTCTTCAACTGTTAAAATATTATACCAATATCACATGTACTGAATGTGTGTGATTTATGGAAAACCAGCAAAATCAAATCGGGAAAATATTTGGAAAACTCGGATTTCTAATTCATTATTACTGCTTAAAATTTTTTAAATTGACGGTATATTGTGATTCGGTTCATCCTGCATTGATATAAATCCTCTATATTGTAGCTGCCTCAAATGAAAAACCTGCGATAATTTTAACTTAACATCGTATAGATGAGAATCACGTCGCCTGATATTTTTAAAGAAATTGACAACAAGGATCATTGCACGACTTCTTGCTTCCTATGAAGGTTTCATCCTTTCATTGTCATTCAAGAATCGCTTTGCCTTTTTTAATATATATATGAACAATGTTCCCCATACTTCAAAACAGGAAACAATTCATCTGCTTCAAGACACCGCGATAATTTTAACTTAACACCGTAAATGAGAATCACGTCACCTGGTATTTTCGAACTAAATGCCAAACATACGATCACAAAGGTGACTGCACGACTTCTCACTTCCTATGAAGGTTTCTTCCGCCCATCGTCAATCTAGAAAAGCTTCACTTTTTTTTTATATATCTGCAATGTTTAGCTTACTTCGAAAAAGGGGAATCATTCATCTGCTTCACTCATTAGCCTCGCTACAGATTTAAACTCTGAACTTATGCACAAACCTGTTCACGCAGCATCATCCCCAATATGGATCATACGTCAAATCCACGTGAAAAGATATAAAACTAGCATATGGAAAAATGACTATTTATAACTATTGTATCAGCAGTTTTTTGTAATATTACCAAAAGCAGAGAAACGGGAATCGCAAATAGGAACAGTTGCGCCATTAGCTAAGCGGGCAATCTTCAACTACAATTATTTTTGCTTCTTGTTCATCCACATACAAGTATAAGTTGGCCTTTATGACTAAATTCACATTAAACGTTGTCGGGGAAAGCTTGAGATGCCAATTACAATGCAGACTGAAAATTAGTGGAGGATGATAGAACGAAAATAGATTTAATTAAACTGGTCATCAAAAATATTGTGAATTTTGCAAACAAAAGAGAATGATAAAATGAAGGAATAATATTATTATTATAATATTACATAATATTAAATTTTTTGAGAAATATCGACATGCATTCCTATAACAATATAAAAGCACGTTTTACTATTCCGTTTTCCTTGTTCAAAGTAATTGAAAGAATGTTACAAAATTCATACATATATTGTTTATTGGTTTCTTAATTAAATTTTCACCTTGTATTCAAAACAGCAATACCTACAAATGTATAAAATTTTCGTTTAACGCACACCCTTTACAAACAAGAGAGCAATGCTGAATGGACACGCAGAACAATTCCCCAAAAATCATATGAGGTGACTTACCAGTACCTGTATCGGGGACCGGGGTACCGCAACGGTACAGGGACTGTCATAGATATTTTAGGTCATGTGACAATGATCCATTCTTCTTGATTATATTGAAACATCAATTGAAATATCTCGTGATATGAGTCAACTATGTACCGTATTAACGGATCAGGTACCAAACCACAGTCAAACATTTTACATAAAAACGTTACTAAATAACATGCGTCAACTTAACACCGCCTGAATAGGGTTACAAATTTCGGTACAGTGACTGTCATAGCCGTTTAGGGCTAATGGATAATTTGACTACACGAACAACTCACCAGGTCTATCTGTAGTCGAGTTGTCCGTGTGTAGTCGAGTTGTCTGTCTCCCATTTCACATGTCCCGTGACAATGATATACTTACTCTTCTCCATTCAATTGCAACATGAATTGAAATACTAAGTAATGCGTTTCATTCCCTTCTCTATTATTGGAACAAAATTAAAAAAAAAACAAGCCCCGCTTTTACCAGACAGCTACGAGTTAGTTGTCACCGCGCTGTGTTACAGTACCGGAACTGCCCTATCTTTAGAAGTTCCTATCTTGTGACAGCGTGAATTGAAATTGCAAGATGGTCCGACTCACAACTGTAGTAACACCAACGATCCGAGTCACTAATGTAATATAACACCTTGTACGGCACTATTCGCCATTCACCATTCCTCAAATCTTGGCAAAGTAAGGATTCCATTACGAACCACCGACGTTCGATGGCACATGATCAGAAGAACAGAAGCGTCCGCAGAACGTTCGGTGACGTCATAGCAAACAGAAACAAATCTCACAGAGCCAACAGAAATATTAGAAATAAATAAAAGTAATAGCCTTCTGGAGAAAAATTTTATCTTTAACCACTAAAAATTTCAAAGCAATTGGTCCAGTAATCAAAGGGAAAAGCGACTTTTAAGATTTTCCACTAAGTGTCCAAAAAGTGTCAAAAACAAGAACAACAACAACACAAGAGAGCAATGCTCAAATATATGGACACGCAGAACAATTCCCCAAAATCATATGCGGTGACCAACGACTAACATACCGGCGGTGACTTACCAGTACCTGTATCGGGGTACCGTGACGGTACAGGGACTGTCATAGATATTTTAGGTCCTGTGACAATTGAAACATCAGTTGAAATATCTCGTGATATGAGTCAATTATGTACCGTATTATCGGATCAGGTACCGAACCACAGTCAAACATTTCACATAAAAACGTTACTAAATAACATGCGTCAACTTAACACCAGCCGAATCGGGGTACAATTTTTGGTACAGTGACTGTCATAGCCGTTTAGGGCTGATGGACAATTCGACTACACGGACAACTCACCAGGCCTAGGGTGGTGTAGCCAGTCTGCGGACAATTTCATTCAAACCGCTATAAAACAAAAACCAATATATCTAACCCGTTAATTTTTTCACCGTGGGTGCATTGGCGGCATTTATTCTACACGCTAAACCTCGTATTAACTTTCTACGACAAAGGGTTAAAGCTATACAAATCCCCAAAGTACGGCACTCGAAAGACGTATTTGCGACCGAACGACCAGTGTGCGACCACGGATTTCAAGCCTTGATCATCGCTTCTGCTGCGTCGAGACTATCGCATACGCAGCCATACAGCAATCAAACAGACAAAACACGGTGGTCGCAAATTGGTTGACAATTGTTGGTCTTGTGACAGCGTGAAAACATTGGGCTTCTAATTGCATTTCTGACCGTCATATATTTCAAGAACACGGTTATTTCGAACAAAACTCGTTAAATTATAAACAAAGCACCCCATCACAGCAACCAAACAGACGAAAACACGGTGGCCGCAAATTGGTTGACAAAGATATTATCGACGTATCGGAAATGCACACCCCCTATTCCCCCTCCTTCAAATGTAGAAACGCGAAACTTTCAAATATGGTTAAAAGAAACACAACTCTACCCACCTGCCAAGTTTCATCTTTTTATTTCTCATATTTGTATGGATTTTCAAGCTTTTGACAGCTACGAGTTAGTTCAGTGTCACCGCGCTGTGTTACGGTACCAGAACTTCTCTATCTTTAGAAGGTCCTGTCTTGTGACAGCGTGAATTGAAATTGCAAGATGGTCCGTTGGACACAAAATGGCGTCCGATATCCGCAGAACGTTTAATGACGTCATAGCAAACAAAAACAAATCTTACAGAGCTAACAGAAATATTTGAAATAAATAAAAGTAATAGCCTTCTGGAGAAAAATTTCATCTTCAACCACTGAAAATTTCAAAGCAATTAGTCCAGTAATCAAAGAGAAAAGCGACTTTTTAAAAACGTGTCAAAGAACAAGAACAAGAACAAGAACAAGAACAACAACAACATAATATTGAAACGATCGTTATGTCCACTACGTGTCCAATAATATTGAAACGATCTCTATGTCCACTACGTGTTCAATAATCCTATATCGAATATGCTCAAAATATTGGTAAACTACTGTCAATAGCATTATGTCTGGTTTTAGCAAACCTTCTGTTTGGGGAAAACATCTTTTTGCTTTCATTCGTGGAAGAAATATTAAAACGCTAATACTGAAAATCAATATATTAAACACAAATATGAATATATAGCAAGGATTCGCAATCATCAGTGCAGCTGAGAAGAAATGATTGAATGAGAATGTCATACGGTTTTGATCATTATATCTTTTTCAGTAACTAATTTCATAGCGTTTCATCTTTTGTATTATATAGGGTAAAACGAACCGAGACGCCGCATATGAACGAATTCACCAGAATGTCAATTATCGTGGCATAAAAGAGCCAAATCTTATTGATTCTCAAAACCCGCACGAATTACTCAATATTTTCGGGCTTATCCTTCACTTCCGGGTCAAATATTGTCATCTTGAATTCGCACAACGAAACTACGCTCACTCAGAAATGAAGGCTACTTGAAATCCCACATCCGACAACAATGTTAGAAGCGCAATCAATGCCAACATTGCGGGTTGTTGCATGTTTCTGCTATTATTGATAGTATTTTTCGCATATTTAATTAAATTATATCAGAGACATTCGCAAAATTTTCACATAACGCAGTTACGTTTTTCAGATATCAGAATAGCAAATATTGACCATTGTTACGTCTCAAATAGATATCTGAGTATAGACTGTGAGGTCACAGACAATAAATATTTGAAATGCTATTTTTCATCTCACATCTCATTTGCAATCACCCTCGCCAAGGGGTTAGAACTGTGAGCGATTTTTCTACAGGTTATTATGACGTAATAGTACAATCAAATAGCTTTTGATTTCTAAATTCTTATTTGTGTTAAACCGGCTAGGAATGCGACACTGTTAATTGTAGTAGCATGAAAGGCCGCAAAGGCAGAGGAGGAGGAAAGGGGAAGAATCGTCGTTCTGATCGATCAGAGAGTCGAGAAGAAAAAGGACGATCTGGATCTCGAACACCCCAACCTCGGACCAAACGTCGCAGAGATTCCCCAAGTTACTCGGATTCCGATGAATCTGAAACAATTTCTGTAGACGATGTGGACAATATACCTGATTTAGAAGCAGATACATCAAAAGAGGAAAACGTAAATGATTCTTATAGCGCGTGGGACACAAGTTGCGGTGTAAAATGCAGGAGGTAAGTTTAGTATTTATTATTTCTTCACAATCAAACAAGGGAAACAAAACGTTCAGTAATTTCAGGCTTGAATATAATTGATCGCAGCGGCCCCGACCGATTACAACTTTCCAATTTATGTCATGCAAATTTGTTCTGAACACGCTGAGGTGATCGCTTCTGATATTGTGATCAGACATTTCGCAAGGGTGTGATAAAAGCGGTAGCTGGAGATCGAAATGGTGAGTGGCGCTCTCAATTCCGGGCCATTTGGTTTTGCGTGTTTAAAATAACATTTTTATATCGTGTTAATGATCATGTAATTTATACTTTGTCTTCTGAAAACTAAGTTGGCACGTTTTTTCCCTCCGTTCAACTCAATTTTGCATTAATTTTTATCATATTTAATATTGAATATAACCAAAAACAATAAAAATTTGAATTTCTCAAGAAATTTGTTATTTTATTCCGTTTTTGATGAATTTCAAATTTCGATAGCACAGTGTATCTGAACGTGCGATGCCTATTGTTATGCTATTCACATCCACGGTGAATTGAAATATTATTTATATATATTTTACCTCAACTTACTTAATAACAGTGATAACCGTGTATTAACTCATTCATTCAGGCATCCAGACCAATTCCACGGGCGACCAGTCACTAATTTTCGCTCACTGTATTCACATTTTCCAAAAGATCAGCAGCGTTTGTTGGTATTTCATATCATCTGCACATTATTCGTCTACCTTATTATCTTCCCACTGGTCAACTGTGTATGGACGTATTTCAAAGATACTGATGCAGAAATAATGTAAGTATACTGAACAATTTTCAATCTGCATTTCCATAGGAATAGGTGATCATTGGAATCATGAATGTAGGATATTCCTGAAAAATATCTCATTCATAGCTATAAATCTCTAAGTATCTCAATCAAAATACGCAGGGATAGAACAATATGCAACGGGGGAATGCAGCGAGCAAAACGCACAACTTCCGCCAAAGCCTTGTAACACTCACATACTCCTGTTAGGTCGCACATTTTGGTGTTCAGTGAGCTTTGAATGCATAATATAACAATAAGGAGCAAAATGTTGAGAATAATAGCAAGGAGTCGTTTATTCTTGAGTATCTTACCTGTGCAATCGGATTAAACCTAACTAATAGATATTTATTAAATGAACTTAACATAATAAAGTATGAATTGTTGTTTGAAAGAGGTGTGTGGACTTATGTCGATATTGAGTAGAAATAAAATATGATTCATTCAAATTCGTGTCTGCCACAAATCATATTTAATATTTATTGTGTATGTTAATTTTCCATTCTGTTTTTAGGTAAACAAATTTTTGGATCAGGATTAAATTTTCTGTTAGACAGTTTCTGTGAAGCGGTACATAACTATGAATTCCATCTCATATATATATACCGCTATTTGATATTATAGATTGGCCTATAGTGCCACATCCTCGCACATCATCCTACAGATAGTGAACATTGCCGAATCCAAGTCGAAGATCGCCACATGAGGAAATATGATTTTATAAAATGATCATTATTGCTGTATTATAATACACTGCTTTTACAGAAATTTATTTGCTTACATCACGGACTATCCGAGAACAAGTTTCACCGCACACATTCGCCATCTATCATGGCTGAGTCTTCCCGGAATCAGTGCCGAAACTATTTCATTGTTACTTGCTGTCGTATTGAAAGATTTGTTCATCTTGAATTGGGAAAATATAACTGAAAATCTTTCCGTGACTGATGTGATAGTCGGAAGAGTTGCCAGACGATACAGAAGATAAAATACACATTTATGAGTTGATGATTTTTCAAGTAGAAATAAACAAAAATTATTTTAAAAGCACAACCCTTTGTATATCATTTATCAAGACCGAAGCAATTCTATAACAATTTATGTTTGTATATAAGACCTCATGCCCCCATATTTATTCAATTTGGATAAACTTGAACATGATTGTTTTGCAACTTCCGCGATATCAGAGTTCTTTCACTCACTTTTTAACAGTAAATTGTTTTAGTTTTCAACGATAGAACAAATGAAACGAATTGAAAATCGTAGAATCTTCACTGTGGCTATTAGTCCGGCAGAATCGGGCATTAACATTGTTTTGGGACATAAAGTTTTTTTTATTGTTTAGATATAATGTCGATGACATAAATAATGATACCCAGATGGGTGTGGAGTATATAACGTTGAGCAATTTTTTTTAAATGGATTTTAAGTATTCCCACCAAGATGACGCACAACCTGAACCCTAACCTGATACACATGCAATGTTCAGGTTGTGCGCCATCTTGGACGAATACTTCGGGAGCACCTTTTCGTTAAAAACAATTATTTCATAACTACACGGGTTAGTTTTGAATACATAGTAACATTGCATCTCCTTACAAAGTCAGAAATTCATTCTTAGTAGATTAATGGTAGTTTATTTCACCAACATAAGCCAAGATCTATCGACAGCATCTAGCCACTTTCTTTTGCGCTCGTCAAACTACATTTGTGTTGCTGCGGGCATTTCGTTTTCCTGATTAAAGCTTCGGGACTTAGGAAATATTTGATTAGTTGAAATGGATTGGAATATTCGACCTCGTCTCTCACTCCGAACAAGGCCATGCAAAACCATCCACTGGTATCTAACGATGTGTAACGTGTTTTCGTTTGGAAGAACCGGAACCTTTCAGGTGCAGCATTGACTTTGGCCAAATTAATATATCCTTGTGGAGATAGAAGGTATGCGTATGCGAAACCGAGATGTGCACCTGTTATGCCAACATAGATAAGTCAAACATTTTGATCACTAGTACATCACACACATTTTCCTGCGTGCTTCGGTGGTACATAATAACGCGCACATTTTTGCGAACATGCATCAAATTCCACTTGTTTATTGAGCTATAGGTTTTGGACGAGCTTTTGTGTATGATTTCATTCCATAGAATTTGTATGCTGTTTTAAAGAATACTAGTTTCAGCTTTTTTATTCATTCAAACCGCGTGTTGGAAGTAAGTTTTGTAATACCGCGTGTTGGTTTTCAAATGGTTTATTTATATCCATTACTTGACATCCTTAAATCGGTGATGCCAGTAAATCTTTAATACAAAAAAATCAGTATCATCTGCAATAAAAACAGCAGTACCTACTCAAATGACAGCTGGGGGGTGGATACTCATATTATCTGCTCCATCGCGTGCCGCTCACCAGTTTACATGAGTGCCAATTGGTATCTAAGCTCAGCCAGAGACAAAAAGTTTCGGATTGCGGTTGGCGTGACGAATTGTTTTTAAATATATATTCCACAATAAGATTATTTGATGCATATTACTGAAAGTTACGCTTTTTAGGTCTTTTCCCATTGCACTCACTATTCCTTTACTGATATTCAATAATATGACGCTCATCTGACATAGTTTTTCAAGTGTGTAGAAAGGTATAATCTTTTCCGCGCTGTTCAGATGGGAATGCGCGAATATATCTGAGAATCGCTAATATTTCTTTTCGTGAATTTTTTGTTGTAGCTGAATTCGAGGGACAGCATGACAACAGGCAAGAGAAGCACGGTAGCCTCTTATAGTTTACGACAGGGTTTCCTAAGAGGGGACCCCGACCCTCTTGGAGGCCACTGATCGGTTATCTGGGAGCACGAACAAACAGATGGAAATGCGAATATATAATAACAATGTATTTTTATAGAAGAGAAGAAGCAAAAGTGTTGAAAGTCTTTGGTAGTTTGAAAAGCATTGGCATGGAACATAAGAATGAACTACATTCTTTCCCAGGGATATACTATAAAATGTAGCAATTATCTCATTCTTGTTCTCGTGATAGTATTATCTTTCATTGCATCGTCGTGATCATCCCGCTGCATAACAATTCTCGCTAACAAATAATTGACTGTTCTCCACCGGGTATATATCCACTTGAACCACTGCCTGCTGCATTAGCAGGCTTGTATTGTTAATTGCAACAAGAGCGGGTATTTTTAAATAGTACTCTTTATTTTACTCGTATGTTACAACAGTATTTCCATATATATATATGGGTCGCGACCCAAAGCTGGGTTCAAAAAATACCTAAAAGTTATTGATTTTTATTTCATAGTAAATTTGGTGCTTCCGTTGTTTGTGCACCAAGATGGCGCACAACCTGAACATAGTATTGTAACAGGTTGGGTTTCAGGTTGTGCGTCATTATGGTGCACAGATTTAATGAAAAACACTAATACAAATATCGAGCCGTAAAAAAAATTGCTCAAGGCTGCAAACTCCACACCCATGTAGAAATGATGGGCAATAACCCCAAGATGAATAATCACAAATAAAAAAAACTTTATGTCTGAAAACGAGGTTGAGCCCAAAAAGGCCCCTTATCTGCCGGACTATATCTATCTATTATTGCAATATATACATAATACACGATCTCTTTGTGGATATGTTGGAACATGAATCCTTAGGCATCATATCCTTAATTAACGAAGCTGGAACTGTGGAACAGCTACTGTAACTTACCAGTACCGGAACCAGAGTATCGGTAACCGGACTGTCCTAGCTTTCCCCGGTCTTGTGAGGATGATGATACATGCGTCCAGTCTAACCGTGAATCGAAATACCAAAGTATTCGAGTCATAACTGTCGTATCAAACATTTTACCGTACCGGTAGTCTACATTCAGTCTTGAAAAATTCCCTTCGCTGATCACCACATCGTGGAATGCGATCACGAAACTGCCACAAGGTGCGCAATTTTTAATTTTGATGACGTCATCTCACAAAACTTCGAATAAATTCATATCCAATTAATATCAGAAATGCGTTCGTCATTATTGAGGATGCTTTTTATTTACAAAAGAAATAATAGGTCAAACATTTCCATTCGTAAGCTGTAAAGTGTATACAACAATTTTCTATTCTAGTGACCCATCAGATATACTAAGTCGCAGCGATCGGCAACCTGCGGCTCCGGCGATCTGGTTGCCTTGAATCAAAGTGGTCACAGCAGTTTTTTGTTAAATACGGAGGTGATTAAATGAAAGGGAGGGCATAAAGCTAAATACTTCTGAACTTTTGACTAATTACGCATTACAGCGGTTCCCAAGGTATAAGTCGCGGGCAATAAAAGAGTGGCAATAAGGCGATTCAAGTTTGTCAAAACAAACTTTTTCATTTCATCATAGACAGTATTATTGCATCATTCGCATTCCATTTGATTTCTTCTTAGTAAGAACTAGATTATTGCATCATAAGAGATTTGTCAAGAGTTTTGATTGCCACTGACATTAGAGTCCCACTTGGGTTATTTTTTTCTAGATTTAGACCCATTTAGATGTTGGATTATTTTAGCATTCATTTTGATTCTTCTGACAAATGTTATTTTGCATTTTTCTCTCGTGGCTAGGTACCTAACAGTACATTTGAAAAGATACTAAGATAAGATAAAATACAGAAAAGTTTTCCAATCGAGGTTAAATAGTGCTCAAAACAATGAGGGAGGTTTGCCAAAATATTGGCAAGCATTGCCATACAAAAGCTTTTTGAAGTGAAGTGGGTGGATATCTGAATATAGGGATGCTTCAGGATTCAATCCGTTTTTAGAACTTTTCCAGTGTACAATTTTAGCCCTAATTCTACCTCATTCAAATGCTAAAATTGAGAAAGTATTTAGTGCAATGAATTATGTCAAGTCAAAACCAAGAAACATAATGTCACTGCAGCTGCTGAATGCCATCTTAGCTGTAAAATTTAGGTTGATAGGAAAAGAAGAGTGCTGCTTCACTTACAAGTATCCACCGAAAGTCATTACGGAGATAGAAACAATGGCTGTCTACGAATACCAGAGCCAGTCAACTTCAGCATCTCATCCCATAGATCTTTCAAATGTAGAAGTAAAATATGAAAATTCATTCCACTTATGAACAGCAGCTATAAGTTGGCAATAATTGAATTGAAAAATACATACACACCGGTCAGGAGGCAAAAAGGTTTCAATTTTTCTCATGATGAATACTTAAGTTACCCTAACTATGTTCCAAACGACGTATTGATATACTGTAAGTAAATATTTTTTTTTATATTACAATTTTCATTTTTTTATTAAAAATTAACTTTGGTATGTTTGGATTATTATTTTTTTAAATTTAGATTATTTTAGACATTTTTTCGTTGAGATTCTAGAATATTTTATTTTCGAACATTTGGCAACCCTGATCAGAGTACATGTTGCGCTCCCAGTAGATTTGAGTTTGATGAAAATGTTGCCAAATGACTCAATCAATGCTAAACGTTGTCGGCCCGTGAGCTAGGGGTTCAACACAATGTCACCAACTGAAATACTTACACCGTTGAATCGGCGTCTTCCATAGTCACACAACCCTCCATACTATGTCCATAGGATCCCATTGCGACGACACGCGAAGTATTTAAGAGTTAGACAATAAGCCTCTCTGTTTTGCAGATAACGATCGAAAAGAAAACTTTCATTTATTTTGGCACAATAAGACAGGTGTGGTAATATATATTGCGGATATGATAAGGCTTATTTTCAAACCATACTCCTTATGTTATACTGAAATTGAATGCAAAGCTGTGGTGTAACGGCATACCAACAATAACTAGAACCCTTTTCAAGCGCCCACGTGTCAGTGCGTGTCATGCATGCTAGCAATGTATGATATATTATGATTTTCAAAAGAAAATACTATCAATATTGCTTTTTATGTTATTTGTTTTGGAAAGAATTAAAGTATATTTCCTGAGCCATTTTGTCGCGCCCACAGCGTCCGCGTTTATATTGTGTCTGTATATATATTTATGTTTATAAACTGTTATGTTGACCCTTATTGCTGTTTTG